ATTCTGATATGTGAGGAGGGAAAATAGGAGGAACTTCCAGATGGCTTGGGGAATCTGAGAGCAGAATTCCCAAGTAGAGCATGCAAGGGAGGAAAGCACTGGCGTATTCCCAACACACGTCCTGGTGAAGGAGAGAACAGCTCCTGCTATTAGTGAGGGGATCTGGACAGATGGGTCAAAAGTTTCTGTTGGACCCAGGGAGAGCAGAAAAATAGAGGAGAAAGAGCTGAGACCAAGAGGTCCCTTCAGATGGGAGAAAAGATATCTCAGGGGTTGGGCACATGGACAGCTGATGACCTGATATCAGCCCTAAACAATTAAAACTCTTCCCAAATCTAACCATATCATGAACACCCAGTACTTAGGCGAAAATCCTAGCAGTATCTGAGAAGTTATTTTCCAATACCTGGTGGAAGGGAAGTTTTAAGTAGACAACGTGCCATTCAGAAATTGTTCCAATCTCTAGAGAGAGAAATTGGAAATAACATCTGCTTGCATAATGTTCTCTCCCTCTCCTGTAGTAGAATTTCTGAGGTCAGCCATCCAAGGCAAGTATGACAGCTGCCCTCTTGTCAAGAACCCAGACTCTACTGATAAGTGATTTCCATCTATAATGCTTCTTTACAATCTAAGACAGTTATTGGATTTTAGGCTTAAAATAGTACAAGAGAGGAAAAGAAAGAAAAAGCCCATCCGGTTCTCTGTCCACCTCTTATGGAGGCTTCCTAGAAGTCCCTCGAGCAATTTTCTCTTACATCTCTTACATCTCCTTAGCTACAGAAAAGGCTGAGAAATGTGATCTTTTAGCTGGGTTCCAAGAAAAGAGGTGCTTCTATTTTAAGAAGCAAGGAGAGAACGGACATAGGATAGTAGCTTACCACAGGCTAGCAGCTTACAGACCTTAAGTTCATTCTTCGGGAGAATATGGGAAAATAAAATTGTGCACATAGATTTGTGAGTCACATACTCCAATCCATCTCCCCGGATAGATTGTAACCTGAGAGAAAGCAGGGTCCATTTCCCCCTTGTTCACAACTTTATTCAGTTATGTAGCCCAATGTGTGTTACTCAGTAGCAATCTACATTTGTTTAATGAATAAATAAAAGAATGAAGGGAAAGGAATGGGTAAATAAGTATAAGTGGCCTTCCAACACTCAGCTTCATGTAAAACTTTAGGTTCTAATGTAGTGTGATAGCGTTTAGTGTTGTTCCCTGAGTATTTCTGGTGCCCTCACTCTTGGTACATGGTAAGATTATACACCCAGTGCTCCTTGTGTCTCGGTAAAGCCATGTGATTATGGTCAATAAGTTAGTTGTGAGTAGAAGCAACATATGTATCTTCTGGGCCCAAGGATTCAGTTGTCAACATGAGACCCATTAGAGCTCTCATTCCCACTGCTACAGCAATGGACAATGTCAGAGCTGGGGTCTCTCCATCAGCTTGGGTCTCTGATAAAGGTGACATGAAGCAGGTGACCAGCAGTGAATGTGTAGCAAGGTCTCTTTCCTGGATTCACCAACTTATTTCACCCATCACATAAATGTAAGCCCTTTTAATGTAGTCAACCAAGGAAACATTTTAAATGCTATAAAATACATCAAATTTATGTCATGGGTCCACAACCAACTTGACCTCTGAAACAATGAAGTCAATTTTTAAAAGTTAAGTTAAAAGTAATTAGTTTGATATAACTGGCATAATGAAAACATCCAGCATAAATAAAGATAGAACACTTAGAGTAAAATGTATTTTCAAGAAAAGCCTTTGCCTTAGTATTTTGAAGAACCCAGAAGTAGAAATTTTTCAAATATTGGTTGCATTTAAGCCAAGATAAGGAATAGCGCTGTAACAAGTGGACCAATTAAAAGAAGTCTTTTCTTTTTCTTTTAAGTAGGCTCCACACCCAATGTGGGGCTTGAACTCACGACCCTGAAATACAGTCACATGCCCTACTAACTGAGCCAGCCAGGTGCCCCGGAAAGAAGTCTCTTTTATCTTTTTTTGATACATATATTAATCACGTGTAAATACATTTGCATGTAATCATACAATGTATTATTAAAGCATATAACATAAAAATACTCATTTTTTAGAGACAAATTTTTAGAGACTATGGTACCTTTAAAGTATAGAATCTGGCTAATTGGCTTTCTTTCCCACTTTCTGAATCTATAATTAAATGCAGATTCTGAAAAATGATTAAAAGCTCTAATATCCTTTACCCTGAAATTGTGTGGACCGTAAACATTAAAGCAATTTGGTTAATATCAAGCAACCTTATCTTTCACATAAAGTACAATCAAACCTCTATTCTAAAATCCCAGAGAATTATTACAAGACAATGTTTAGCTTCTTCCAAACCAAGCAATTTTAGTTGCTTTTAGCATTTTCCCCTAACATATGATTTCAGGGTTATTATGTTCTATGACTTGAATCCCCTGCACAGAAATATACATAACTAGATACTTAACACAGGTATGAGATTTGTTACCCTTTTCTGGAAGAGCTGATTATATTCCAAGAGGATGAAAAAGATGTTACATTGAAGTCTGTTACTTCAGATGACTAATGGATAAACTACTCAGGCAAGAAGAGTAAATGGAAATAATTGGGTGTTTCTGTCCTTATAACTGAATCTTGTAACTTCGATGTAGATAGTGTCATCCGGGTGCAGATCGAAGCTTAACTTGTAACAGGCTCTGAAATTCAGGGTTTGCATGCTATTTTTATTCTCCAGTTTATGTCCAAATGAAATAAATAATTTAAGAGATTTACCATCACTTCCTTCATAAAAAAAAAAAAAGGAAAAATCTGAAGGAGTTTAATGGTGTAGTGTAGGCAGTAAAAAGATGACACTATGAAAATTAAAATATTACTGGAGCCATGGATTTAAAAGATTTATAAGTTTTCCCTCACCACCAAACTACCCAGCCTTTTCTCTTTTTTTTAATGTTACAACATTAAATTTTTCGATCATATTGGAGACTATAGACCAAAACTTCTCCATAACAATGCCAAAGAAATACCAGAGAACTGAACATTTCCAGATGAGCCCACAGGCAATTCCAGTACCCAGGCATTCAACCCTCATTTACCATTTTTTTTTTTTTTTGAGAGTAGGTGTTTTCAATGGGAGAAAACGGTAACACAAGGTGAATAATTACCCATGTTATCACCATTCTGGTTTGCAGAATGTATCATTGCAGGGTCCTTAAAAATCACCACAGACACTCTATCAGACAGGCTTTTTGGTCCAGAAACCGTATGCTCAACTAGACTATGAAAAACCTTATTGCAGATAGGGCATGTGCTTGGCAAAGGCAAGGATCACCAGCAGGGTGCTGCTTCCTCAAGAAAGCTCCAGCTGGGGGACATGATGGCATCCTTCCAAGGGCAATGGTTCCCTTTGGGCCATCAGAGAGAGAATCAAGAGCTTTGGCCCCTTACAATTGAGTTGATCCATGCAGTCACCATGTAGACATATATTATGAGAGGATGGAAACGGGCTTAGCCTGATATTTCCCCATGCCTGGTCTTTGTTGTCCTTTGAGACACCCTGCCCACCATGGCCCAGTTAGCAGATTGCCGGTCACTTCCATTTTACTTAGTTTTCAATGATACAATATTCAGGTTCCACAGCTATTAGGAATCCACTCTATGCCTCTTTTGACCTTAGGTAATATATACCTATGTCCTTCCTAACCTTCTTAAAAGAGGCTTAATGGAATTTTGAATTTTTCCCATTGCAAAAATTCTTAGGTTTTTGTCAAAAGAGATTTAAAATACCACATGGAATGATGTACTCACATCCTTCACCACCACCTCCAAATAACTGAATTACATAAATAAAACATTACCTAGAAAAGAGCTTTGCTACAATTTATGGGAGGTAAATTTAACAAGAACTGGCTCATTGTAGGAAAATTCAACTTATCTTTTCCCGATCCTTTTATTCTATACAGGGAAAGAAATTTATGTCATCTTAAAAAAAATCTATTACTGCTTCTCATAACTGAATCCATTATTTTTCTCTATGATCCATCAGGCAAAAACAAGAATAATAGATTGCTTTGACAAAACCTTGAACATAAACGTCTCCAAGAACCAAACGTAGTAAGTTAAACTGGTTTCAGGTGTTATTAAAACAAGAAAGGATAGCCTTCTCTATACATTTCAAAATCAGATCTTACTAAGCAAGTTATTATTATCAGCTTCTACAAAAAAGATTATACAGTAGTTGAATTTTCACAATTAGACTCTGACTTTACACAAATAAAGTTGTCCTATACATAGGCAACTGATTTAAACAATTTGTGTGGACTTTATCTTGTAAGTCTTTCCCGTTTATAAAAAAAAAGTCAAGGCGCTCTATGATCAATAGCTCCACATGACCCATTTCAGTTTCAGAGAAGTCTGAATGTATGTACACACACCAACCTACATCTGGGATTTTCTCCTTAATGGATACCTATCCAGCATCTAATTTTATTCTGATAAGCCAACCTTCCAACTGTCTCCGGGAAGAATCGCCACATTTCCGGCTTCAGTGGCAGAACTTATTCTAAGCCAATTGGCACATAACATTACAATAAGTCTATTATGTGTCAGCATATGCCCCAACTTGCCTACAGAGAAAAAAGAATGATGTTCTTTAAAGATTTATTTATTTATTTACTTGAGGGAGAGAGAGCAGGGGGAGAAGAGCAGACAGAGAGGGAGAGAGCATCTTAGGCCGACTCTGCGCTGAGCACGGAGCCCGAGTTGGGGCTTGATCTCATGGCCCTGAGATCACGACATGAGCGGAAACCAAGAGTCGGAGGCTTAACTGACTGCACCACCCAGGTGCCCCCAAAAAGAATCCTTTATGCCAGCTGAAAATGCAGAGAGAGAGGTTTCCCATTTTCTGCTACCAGGGAGCCCCAGCTGCTACTGAGCCATCTGTGACTTTGAGAATGAGGACAATGCTGGTGACAGAGAAGACAAATGGAAAGAACGCAGGTCCCCATGACTACCAGTGAAGTGGTGATGGTGTGGAACCAGCCTTCCAGGTAGAGCTCAGACACTTTCTTCTTAGCCCTTCCTCTACTTTGGATTTCGGTTTCCAAAACTGTTCGGATATGTTCCTCTTTTCCTTTAAAGATGAGAGAATGTACTCAGAATCTTATGCTTCCTTGTGGTTTGTTTCATTCATATTGCTTTACAGCAGAGATCTCTGAATATATACTTGATTCTGAAACTGCCTCTGAGAACCCTCCCTAATCACCTAATGGGGCACAAAATTTTATCTACCCATTGCTTAAGAAGACAGTAACATTCTTACAAAGGTTAATGCACATATAAGATGAGTAAAAACCCCTTTTATCGTGCCAGACAGAAAAATACAGCTTCATAACCCAAGTCAGACATTATTCCTAGCCTCTAGATCTAAACTGACCTTGACCTGTACCATAATCAATTTAAAACTCTGGCCTATAAGCCAAAGGTCCATCTTCTTAAAATTATTCAGAAATCCAAGCCATAGCAATCCTACTGCTCTCCTCTCATTTTCCTAAACGATTTTATAGTTATTTCTCAGATTTTTCAGGCTATTAGATGTTTCTCACATATTTCCAGAGATAATAACTCATCCGCTTTGCAATCTGATTCTTAACATTAGGAGATTAAAACTAATGTAGATGATTCTCAGATGACACATACTGAGGTACAGAAAAATCCCATCATTTCCTTCTACAAAATGAGAGAAATTCTAATTCTTTTTCTCAACAGCTGCTTCATTTTTTTATGCATAGGAAAAAAATATGTGCAATTACTCCAAGTACAATCAAGTCATTTCACATGGCTTTACCATCATTGTAGTTACAGGATATTTTAAAAGAGAAAAAAAAAATCTCAAAGCACAGGTCCTGCTGTGCAGCAAAGCAATCAGATTCCTTCATAATAACAGCCTGATGGGATTCAGCAATCCGAGGAATAATGAATAACTACTTTAATCAGTAAACAGGAAAATGCTACAACAGTCACTGAGTAAAAATTGACTATCATCTGTTGATCCTCTTGATCAGTATTTCAAACAATAAATAGAAATGTATTTTTTTAAAAAAGAAAACTGTGTTTATGTGTTTGATTTTTTGCCAGACAGTGATAAAATATCATCTTAGACTGTCCTGCAGTATTGCCCAGTCAATGAAGTGCACATATAATCTTCATAATACATGGCCAAGTTGACCCTCTCACTTGAATATGTCAAGGTAAGCTCTTCTGGCAGTCGATTAATAAGGTTATTTCTGGACTGATTATTGAACTCTTTTGTTACTTCATTATTGAATGTTCTTCTTCAGTGTTCATCTTACAAAGTTGTTTGTATCCGAAAATGAAAAGTCTGTTTCAAAATAGTCTTCAAGTTTCCAATGCAGTTTCTCAAATGTTGGCCGTTCCTTGGGGTCTGCGTTCCAACACTCCCACATGATGTTGTAGAACTGTGATGGACAGTTAGGTGGTTGAGGGAGTCTATAGTTTTGACCCAATATCTGGATTACCTGAGCACCTGTCATGCCTAAATAGCATAGAACAGAACAAACAAAAAATAAGTTAAAGATCAGGGTCTTAAATTCATCGATAATTATATTCAAGATTACAAAGCAAACTGATTTCCTTGGTGAAGATGTGAGGTCTACCATCCCCTTCCCTGGCTGCAGATATTAAACTAAATCTTGCAGCAAGTAATGGCTATAAGACCACAATTCAAGAGCAAAGGAGAAAGAGGCAATAAACTACCTCATTAATGCAAATCATCATCATCAAATTTTATCTATTATGCTCCCACAGGCACATGGTGTGGTCAGCCCCATAACTCTGCCCTCTAAGTCTGGGCAAAGCAGTTAAAGTCACACCTAAGTAAGTGACCTGCAGAAAAGCCCACTTCAGAATTAATTACTCACCACTATAAGGCATTTTGCCATAAGTAATGATTTCATAAAGAAGGATTCCAAATGACCACACATCAGACTTAATGCTGAATTTATTAGCATGAATGGCTTCAGGCGCAGTCCACTTCACTGGCAGCTTTATTTCATGTTTGGGTTCATAGATGTCTTCATTACCTACCTGTTAATGCATTGAGGAATCAAGCCAAGTTCAAGTGAGATATATATATATAGATATATATAGATTTTTTTTTGCTACCCTCGTTCATCTCTAACCTGCTTCACATTAAAATTTAGAGGGAAAGCATTCAAAATGATCTAGTTCAATAGATAATTATAGTAGCAAATTCCAAATCTGGCTTATAAGACTGAGAAATCTAGGAGAAAACATTAATAAAATATTATTTAAGAGCCTACTATGTGCTAAACATAGCACTGACAGGAGCACGCTGCTACACATGGTAGAACTCACATGTGATGGTCTTTGGCATCTGGTCTTCAGCAAATTAAAAAAAGAAAAAATGAAGGCAAAGTCTGCTTCCAGACTTACTGCTGTTATTGGAGAGCCACTGACTTTAATAATTACCATGTTTCACTTTCTAACATTGAAAAGTAGAATCCAAATGATTTAAATTAATATATCAAGTCACTGGGGTTCTAATTAACTTATTTAAAAAAGAGATAATGAATTCATGAAGATCAAAAGAGAATCACTTATACGTTGTGTTTCGTGTTCCACACCCCTATTTGTAGGGCATGATGTAGAAAGTAAAAATTAAATTCAGAGAAAAACACCTAATACTATGTCACTTATGTCAGTGTCTTTTGGCCTGATGTCATGACACGGGGTGAGGGCCAGGAATTAAAAAGTCAGTGATTGCAAAGAATTCTGGCAACGTGAATATTAATTTGGCAGAAAGTGAGCAAAGGTGGATGGAGTGACTATACAAAATGTACTGCTTTTTGTAAGGAAAATCGAGGCAAACCAAGAGAGGCTACTGCACTGAAAGGCAGATCATTAATCCAACCACAAACTTAATCAAGTACTTTCCCATCTGGTTAGGCATCATTTTCTCTGTTTCTCCTTGGTGAAGAAAGAAAAACAGGAGGTGGTTTATCTGAAAGGCCTTGGGTTACCGAAGTGTTCTACGGACCACCGAACTTGGAGAAATATTATTTTTTGGATAAACTTGGATAAACATTATTTTGAGGAACAACAGTAAATCTATCAGTCTGCTGATATGTTAGACTTTTGACCCGTGACAAAACCTAATTAAAACAAAACATGATTCACCTTAAAAACTCTTGCAAGTCCAAAATCTGCAACTTTGTAGATATTATGTTCACCAACCAGGACATTTCTGGCAGCCAGATCTCTATGAATGTAGTTCTGGGACTCCAGATAAGCCATCCCAGAGGCAACCTGTGCGGCCATGTCCACCTGCTGAGTCAGATGGATTTTTGTTCCAGCATCATCTGAGCAGTAAGAGAAAGTAAAACGTTGACTTTGGAAATCAAGTGAATTATTGAAGTGAATTTTGAGAATTTTGATGAATGAGCTGTCGGTGGGATTAAGTGTCATAGCACTGATCTGTTGAGCAAAGAAACATAATCAATACAGACCATTCATTTACTTTAAAGGGTTAATGAGGCAACACTTTTCAGAGTCCAAACACAGCTGTGGCCCTCACTCCCTTGAAGGAACATTCCACAGAGAAGGAAACAACAGCAACACATAATTCGAAAACAACTCCAAAGATCTGAAGAGTCCAGGTATTACCATATTTCCACTGCACGCATCCCTGACTCATCTCTTTGTGGAAATTGTTTACTTGGTTGCCTCTAGATTTCCTTCAAACATTTCATAGTTTGTTCTAGTCTTTAGGGCTATAAGATGATACCAATTTGCATAGTGGAGCTGATGAAAAGTTCTCATTCTTCCATCATATTGGTATTTTTTTTCTATCATATTGTTCTTAAAAACTAGCTCACTAACAAAAATGAAAGGTCTAGCAGTAGTTATAAAATGAGTATGTCACATTTGTACTCCATTAAGCTTGATACACATTTTTTTTTTACTTCCCTTTTTAATCCTGTTATTCTTAGAAATAGTTCACACATCTCTCCAGGCATGGACATGACTTTAATAGACATAGTTTTGGGTGCCTGGGTGGCTCAATCATTAAGCGGCTGCCTTGGGCTCACATCATGATCCCAGGGTCCTGGGATTGAAGTCCACATCGGGCTCCCTGCTCGGCGGTAACCCTGCTTCTCCCTCTCCCACTCCCCCTGTTGTGTTCCCTCTCTCTGTGTGTCTCTGTCAAATAAATAAATAAAATCTAAAAAAAAAAACAAAAACCCTTTAATAGACATAGTTTTTACCACCACTACTCATCCTATATAACTAAGTATAGGAAAGTTAGGCAGTAGACTCAGTTTGATCATTAGTAGAGAGGTTAGTGTTATTCTGGGCTGACTCTGTGAGGCGGGGTCAGCCATCCCTGGATACTTGTTAGCTGCCATACTGTTAGTAGATGTCTTCAGATTTCTGGAGAATTAAAAAGGTCTATAAATCCAAACTACCAGCACCCCTGACTCAATAAGCCAAATATTACCAAAAGTATATTGAATTCACAGTCAAGAGTCTTAGATACAACTTGACTTGAAAGAACCAAGATGCCCTTCAATGGACGAATGGGTAAGGAAGATGTGGTCCATATATACAATGGAGTATTATGCCTCCATCAGAAAGGTTGAATACCCAACTTTTGTATCAATATGGATGGGACTGGAGGAGATTATGCTGAGTGAAATAAGTCAAGCAGAGAGAGTCAATTATCGTATGGTTTCACTTTCTTGTGGAGCATAAGGAATAACACGGAGGACACTGGGAGATGGAGAGAAGTGAGATGGGGAAATCGGAGGGGGAGATGAACCATGAGAGACTGTGGACTCTGAGAAACAAACTGAGGGTTTTGGAGGGGAGGGGGGTTGGGTGAGCCAGGTGGTGGGTATTATGGAGGGCACGTATTGCATGGAGCACTGGGTGTGGTGCATAAACAATGAATTCTGGAACACTGAAAATAAAATAAAATAAAATTTAAAAAAAGAAAAGAAAAGAAAGACAACTATTGCTCAGGGGTTAGAAAACTGACTTGAAGCTAGAGTGCCAGGATCTGGATCAGAGCTTTGTCTCACATTTCTTCCTGACCTCAGGCAAGCTGCTTAACACCCCTGTGCCTCCGTTTCTTCATCTATACAGTGGTCATTGTAATTTCCTTATGGTATCAGTTGTTAAAATGAGTTAATTCATATAAAGCACTTAAAGCAGAGCCTGGCACCTAGAAAGAACTGAGTAAATCTGTTTTTATTTATCTGACTACCTGTTTTTACTATCATTGCTGCTGCCTAAACAGAACTAAACAGTTTAAGAATTGTTAAGGTAGAGATGCATATGGATTGCCTAAATGGAAATGCCTAAATGAAGACAAACATATGGGTCTGGAGCACACATGCAGGGGAAGATATCAACTTAACAGTCATAGTTTGTGGGTAAGAGTTAAACATTAAAAGTGAATAAGACTGTTAGGAAGTGACAGAATCATGACAAACACCAACATTTAGGGTGGACAGAGGAAGATAAACCTATGAGAAGACTGAGAAGAATCAGCCAGAAGAATGAAACAAAAACCAGAAGACAGCATCCTAACAAAGGTTTTGAGAAAGTCACCACCATTGTCAAATTCCACAGGTCCAGCAAGATAAGGTCTAAAAGGTATTTATTAAATATTACTAGGGAGTCATTGGTGACCTCAGTGGCAGGAAGAGCATTTTCATGGCAGATGTGGGATAGAGGGCAGAACGGGAGCTGAGGATATGGAGACAGCAAGAGGAGATGTCAATTTCCAAACCCTGGTTAAGAAGGGAAGGCAACAGGGAGTTGGCAGAGGAGAGTGTAAGTCAAGGGAAAGCAACTAGCAGGAAATTCACGATTGTGAGGGGCTGTCAATGATATGGTACTCAGGGAGTTTCTGGATCGCTAGCCACATTCGCATTGTTGGTTTGTACAGTGGCTGTCCCATTGTTCACTGGCTCACTCTGAATTAACGATAAATTATACTAAATGACGTATGTTATTTATGTGTGCCGTCTTTTCGATTAAAAAATGAAATAAATAAGGGTGCGTGGGTGGCTCTGTAGGTTAAGCATCTGCCTTTGGCTCAGGTCATGATCCCAGGGTCCTGGGATCGAGTCCCGCATTGAGCTTCCTGCTCAGTGCTTCTCCTCTGCCTGCGGATCCCCTGGCTTGTGCTCTCTGTCAAATAAATAAAAATCTTAAAAATAAATGAAATAAATAGAGTTGAGTCCATTTTTTAAAATGGTATAGATCTAAGCACTGTGTGTGTGTGTGTGTGCGCGCACGCGCATGTGTGTACATACATGTATATTTGTTTTTTTAACACAAGCAGCACATTTAAGTACAATGTGTGGTGAAACTAAGTACTCATGGACCTATCTGTCCTTTTCTTCCTGGGCAAACACTATGTTCCCCATCTTCCCTAGAAGTTAAATTGGGCCATGTCACTAATTCTGTGCCCTGCAACATGTGTAAGAGAGGACTTTTGTCACTTTAGGCCTGATCCTTAAAATCTCTGTTTTTGTAGCTAGAAGAAATAAATTTTGAAATGGCAGAACCACATGATGAAAGGAGTCTAAATCCCTATGTCACTATTTAAAGAGAGTCATGTAGAAGGGCAAGTCTGATGCATATCAAAAATGCATATATTTGTTATGTCACTAAGATATTTGAATTGTATATTATAGCAGCTAACATCAATTATTCAGTTTAAAATGAAATGTAAGCAAAAAGACAAAACATAACTTTTTTTTAAAAGACTTTATTTATTGGGGCACGTGGGTGGCTCAGTCGGTTAAGTGTCTGCCTTCTCCTTGGGTCATGATCTCAGGGTCCTGGGATCAAGTCCCAAGTCGGGCTCCCTGCTCAGTCAGGAGTCTGTGTCTCCCTCTCCCTCTGTCCTTCTTCTCTGCTTGTGCTCTCTCTCTCAAGTACGTAAAAAGATTTTATTTATTTACTTATTTACTTATTTATTGAAAGAGAGAGAGTGCACAGGGGGAGAGGTAGAGGGAGAGAGAAAATCTCAAGCAGACTCCACCCAAACACGGAGCCCATTACAGGCTCGATCTCATACCTGAGATCATGACCTGAGCCAAAATCCAGAGTCAGATGTTTCACTGACTGAGCCACCCAGGCACCCCAAAGACAAAGCATAACTTAGTGTGCAGCATAATGAGAAAGCATTGCTACTGTGTTAGCCAAAATAGCTATGTCTTTCGATACCAGATTAACTCAATATGGAAAGAAACATTAAAAAGTCAAGATACACTGGTGACCAGTCCTACACCAAGTGACAGTTTCTAAAATGGTTTCTCATATTCTCTATCTCCTGGTATTTGAGCTTTTATGAAATCCCCTTCCATTAAATATGGTTTGGAACACCAATTCACTTTTAAACAAATACAATACGGCAAAAGGGATGGGGTATCTCTTCCAAGATAAGTGATCAAAGACAGTGTCTTCATCTTGCAGGAACTCTCCTCTCTTGCTCTCTCACTTGCTCACTCTGATGAAGCCAACTGCCATGTTGTAAGTTGCCCTGTGGAGAGGGCCATGTACCAAGGATCATAGGGCAGCTTTGGGCCAAAACCCAGCAAGGAACAGGCTTCCTCGGTCCAACAGCCCCGGAGAAACCAATTCCTGCCAACAATCACATGGGTGAGCTTGGGAATAGATCAGCCTTCCCTAGAGCCTTCGGATAACTGAAGCACCTGCCAACACCTCACTGCAGCCTTGGGAGAAACCGGACGTAGAAGACCCAGCTCAGGGGCGCCTGGGTGGCTCAGTGGGTTAAAGCCTCTGCCTTCAGCTCGGGTCATGATCCCAGGGTCCTGGGATTGAGCCCCACATTGGGCTCTTTGCTCAGCAGGGAGCCTATTTCCTTCTCTCTCTGCCTGCCTCTCTGCCTACTTGTGATCTTTGTCTGTCAAATAAATAAATCAAATCTTTAAAAAAAAAAAAAAAAAAGAAGAAGAAGAAGACGACGACCCCAGCTCAGCTGTACCTGGATTCCTGACCACAGAAACTAAGGTAATAAGTGCTGCTATTTTAAGCCACTACGTTTTGGGTAACTTGTAGCACAGCAATAAATCGTGAATACAGGTTCACAATAAGAAAATAATGCCAGTGCTATGCATATGGTTAAAAGCATAAGGTATGGAACCAGACTTCTGGGTTTAAATTCTGGCTCAACCACCTCAGGTAAGTTATTCACCTCTCCATCCCTCAGTTTCTTCCACCATAAGGAGGAAATGATGATAATCATAATAATACTCATTTCATCAGGTTTTTAGAAGAATGAACTAAGTTAATAAATTGTACACCACTTAGAAAAATGCCTGGCAGGGGCGCCTGCATGGTTAAACAGGTGATTAACCTTCATCAGTCAGTTAAGCATCCGATTCTTGGTATCAGCTCCAGTCATGATCGCAGGGTCGTGGGATGGAGAGCCCCGCATCTGGCCTCGTGCTCAGTGCAGAGTCTGCTTGCGCCTCTCCCTCTCCCCGGGTTCCTCCTCTCCTTCCCCTGCCACTCACGTGCTCTCTCTCTCTCTGAAATTGATCAATCAATCAGTCAAGGAAGGAAGGAAGGAAGGAAGGAAGGAAGGAAGGAAGGAAGATGCGTGGCACATCATAAATACCATATAGTGTTTTTTTTTTAAAGAAAAAAAATTGAATATATATGCACCTCTCTTACCACTATCCCATATGGTTGATTTTCACCACATCACCTCATTTTGTATTTAGAACTATATGAAGTAGTATCATTATTATTTGCTCCCTTTCATAGCAGTTTCTGCCACTTAGAAGAACAGGTAATAAGTTGTAGAGTGGAAAGTCAAGTTCAGGCATGTCTGAGGTTGAAATTTCATGCTCTTAAAAACTATTCCATCCTCCTCCCTAAGACCAACCTTACCCATGATTCCCGAGCACCTGAATGCTGGGGCTACACTTACGGTCAGCTAAAGAGTATCTCACTGAAAACACTCCTGTCTACTTCAGTGCACCTAAGTGAACTCCCCAAGAGATCGATGAACAACATGTAGGACTTTATTTATTTCAAAAATATGTATGTATATAAAAAATGTAGATATTTATTCTCTTTAAATTTCAGTAAGAGATATTCGATATCACTTACCCTCAATGCTTAAGTTTTTTGACAAGCCTCTTCCATTTTGGAGAAATTAATTACAAAAAAATATTTAGCCAAGCTTAGGGACTACAAAGATGGTTCTATGGAAGAATATGTATGTCATTCCCACTATCAAATACGACATCTAATCCTATTATAGTGGATATAAAAAGTTTTCACTGACAGGCACAACAGAGAAGAAAATTGAGTAATAACACATTTTCTACCCTGAAATACTGCAGTGGCCTAGGAACTGCCTAAGTAAACCTCGGAACACACTTCTGATACAACAGCCAGTTGTCAAAACTGATATAAAGGTTCACAGGCCTGTGACAATTTATATCTGCAACAAGAAAATATTTTCAATTATGTTCCATTATTCAAGAGTCTTACATCTTACAACAGTTACTGTGATGGGCTGTTTAAGAGCGGCAGATTCATTTTAACATCACTTTGTTGAATGTAAGCCCTCTTCATTGGGAAAGGATTGTCTGTAATGAGCATCTCTTCATTACTCCTCATGGCTACTAAGTATCTTGGCAAATGAAGGCCTTGGTAAACTTGACCCTGAAGGCCCAACTCAGCATATGACAGGGTTTGTGCTCACCTCTGAATAAAACACATCAACACACCACCAAAAAAACTCATTGTCAAAGGAGTTTGTAATTAATAAGCAGATCTTGTCAAGCTGACACCAAGGGTCTCAAAACAAACTCAACCCCAAGTCTTGATATTAGGTTCAGAATAGCCCCCACTTAATTTCTCCATTCATTTTCTCATTCAGTCAGTCAACACAGAATTAGTGCACACCTTCTATGTGCCTGACACTGTTCTATCACTAAAACAAAAATCTCCGTCCTCGTGGAGTTGTATTCTAGAAGATACTTACTATAAGCCACATAACAAAGTCACACATTATAGGATGACCAGCAGCTAAGAAAATAAAAAAGCATACAAAGAGGCAGAAGAAGGAGAATAAATTTAGAATTCAGAGGGTGACCAGCAAAGGACTCACCATTGTGGGAATGTCTGAGGAAAGACTTGGCAGAAGTGAGGAAGTGAGCTATGTGGATATTAATGGGGCGGGGGGCGGGGGGTAGGAATTCAGATAGAGGACGGAGCAAGTGCAAAGGGCCTGAATGAAGAGCAGCAAAGGACAGTGAGACCGACACAGAGTCAAGGGAGACAAGGGAGATGTTGGGGGAGATGTGGTCAGTAAGGTAATGGAGAGCTGAGCCACGTAGGATTTTAGAGGTCATACACGCAGAACCCACGGGAGTCAGTGAGGCTTTGAGCTGAGGAGAGACACGATCTGACTGACATTTTAACAGGAGATCTCCAACTCCTGCATTGAGAAGACTGCGAGGAACAAGAACCAAAAGAGGGAGACCACTTAGGAAGCTCCTGCACCATCCAGGAGAGAGCTGATGACGGCTTGGACCAGGGTGTGTGGGCAGAGAGGGGGCAAAATCCTGGGTATACTTTGAAAAAAGTCAATTGGATTTGCTAAGTGGTTAGCTGGAAGCTGTGAGAAGAAGTAGAGATGATCCAAGAGATTAGGCTGAGTGTTAACATCGTCTAAGAAGGAAAGAGCACAAGAGTAGCAGATTATTGAGGATAACATACGATCAGTTTTGGACACGTTGTTTTGAGATCTTTTTTTAATGGACATATGGAGTAGAAATTCTTGCTGTTCACAAACATTTTTTTTTTCCTCCTTTCAGCCAGGTTAGCGGATTATACTTCGCTATTCCCTCTGACTTGATTTGACCAAATGAACAGGCACAGGAGTTATCTCTGCATCTCCCAGGTGGAGCTCTAAGAGCCAGAACAAGATTAGTCCCATCACCTTCCCCTTCCAAGGTGATGAAAAGACTTGAGGCGTCAACCAATCTATTTTTCACACATGCTTGAGCAAGAAATAAAGGTCTCTGGGACTTGGAAGGGGGGTGTTGCTGCATCACACCGAGGTTATCCAGAGAAGCACTGAAGTAGAGTAGTCAAGAAGGCAGTTGGATTTATGATTCTGAAGTAATGAAGGGATATAGTTTGAGAAATCTTTGATACATAAATGTTATTTAACCCTGAGACTGACTGAGATTAGCAAGGGAACTAGTGATGTTGCAAAATTCCAAGATATTGAGAGATCTGAGAGATGAGGGAAATCACATCGATGGGAGAAGGGACCAACGAAAAAGACAGGAGGAAAAGCCACTGACTGATGTGTCTTGGAAGCCAAATGAAGGAAGTGTTTCCATTCATTCAAGTCCATTGAAATAAAAGCTCTGAATAGGTCTGAGGACTGAGAATTGACTATTAGATTTACCACCATGAATCTTACAAGTGATCATTTTTGTTAAACCTGACCCAAGATGGCTACTGTACTTTTGTCCCTGGGAATAAAGCAAAAAGGGTCAATGGCTGAGGTCAGTCTTACTCTGATGGCTAATATATTCTGATACGGTTAAATTTGCTCTCTTTATGCAAAGGAGCTAAGCATATCTTTTTTTAACAGCATTTAACAGGCCCACGTTCTTTTTTCCCCTTCTCCACTTTTGCCATTTAATACCAACAGCTTCACAAGTCACCCTGAAATCCGAGAACACTCTTATCTTTCCAATATCTTATCTCACCTCCCTTTACCTGTATGCGTTCCATCAACGCCACTCTGTCATTTTAGGAAAGCATAGAAAAAAGTCTCTTTTTTAGGCATGAATTATTCTCTCAGTACTTGATCTCCACTACTTTGAACATCTCATTTTAATACTCATTATATTGTTGCGTATTAAATTATTCATTTGCAATAAACATCAAAATTTCACAATGCCCTTAAGTCTTCTCTTACTATAGGAAGCAGATGTAGAAATAAAGCAATAGTATATTTCCGCTTTTTAGTCTAAAAATTCTAATGTTGCCTAGCAGTGGATGTATTTTAAACACCAACAGGTACAATGTTGTCAAACACTGGCAAAGGAAAAAGAATGAAGGTACCGCTCCCTCTATTGCCCCAAAAGTATTCCACATCCCCTAATTCTGGGCCATAGAACAAATTGGTCCATGACTGATAATGCTCCATTAGTTATTATAGGAAACAATGCATCATGTAAAACATCTATTCCTCAGTTTTCTACATTACATTTACGTACTCCACTATGTCATTTGTGAACAATTTGTTCTTTGCTACATAAATATTTTTCCTCCTTTTGGCACACAGTATATCTCCTATTAAAATGTAGTCGAGCCTTTCAATGTTGAGACATTCATTCTCACAGATACACACATTGTAAATATCCTCTGGGTTACAGAAGGCTTGCTAAATTGACATTTATAGGACTAGCTAAACTAAATTCCTCTTTTTCTTCCTTTTATTAAGTCTTTAGCTTACTTTGGAGATATTCTTGCAGACTTCCATGTCTCATCAACTCTGTAATAATATAAATTGGATCTTCCAAAGTGCAAACAGCATAAAGCTGGATAAGCTTTGGATGTCTTAGGTTCTTCATTATCTGTGCCTCCCTCAGGAAGTCATTTGGATCCATTGAACCTGAAACAAGAAAAGGAGGAAATCACTTTATGTTATTGAGGCATTCCTATCCTCACAGCAGTCTGGTGGGAATCACTAAGATTGCTTCCTGCTTCTCCATAAAGTAAGAGCACTGGTGTCACAAATCTTCAGATTTATCAAAGAAAAGAATCAATCCAGCCAGGGCAACCTAATAACTAATGTGTGGGTACACCAAGGGGGTGTAATTTATGGGTTATGACCTGTAGGTGAAAAGAGGTGGACGCAGGTCCATATGAAAAATGAAGGGAAAAGGAGTGACTGACAGTCTAATTGATAAAACAAGGCCAGCAAATTAAGAACACAGAGAGAAGACATTCTGTTACCATGAATGCTGGAGGACACTGAATGTTTAATTACCGCAGCCAGACCTTTTTGGTCCAGGATCCAGAGAAGACTGATAGTTGCCCTGTCCTTGGTACCCACTGTGGGAACAGCTGGGCAACAACCCTGAAGCAATGACATTCTGCCATATTTATGTTCTTAATTCTATAGGGATATATGGTATCGGCCAAGCAGAAAACATTTAAGGGCTACACCCAAAACTTAGAGGTTGCTTTTTGTTTTGTTTTTTTTTCCCACCAATCTTCTATGTCTAACTTCAAACTGGTCTTCAACATTTTCTCTCATATTAATACATCTGTAGTCACACTCTTAAGAGCTTAACAGAACAATAAGGGAGACAGTATTGGGACCTATTTGGAAGAGTCACCTACAATTAAATTGTATCTTAATGGCTCAACTGTTACCATGAAAAGTGCCCGTAATTAACAAATAAAGTCTAAGAGGAGGAAGGACACCCGGAGCTTACATTTCATCGGTAATTTTTTAAAATCTTTCATATTTTTTTAGGATATGATGTTTCAGAGACATTACTGTAACTGAAGGAATCCTGTCACTTCACATCTCAGTATTCACTGCGGACAGTGCAAATAACATTTCCACTGACGCTCCAAGGGACGGTTCCATTCATCTAACTCATGATGAAGACTTCACAACTGATATTGGAACCCAGGCATGGGCAAGCTTGGACGTTCTAAGACCACACTCCAACTGGTTTATTAACATCACGTTAAGAAGAGTTAGATGTGACTTGCAGATCATTTCACATAAAGCATTTAGGCAGTCTGTCCTTTGGTATTCCCTTGAGTGTAGAAGTTCAGAACACAGGCTTGGTCAAACTCGGATTCTGATCAAATCTTAGCTCACTCGTGTGATCTTTAGTAAGTTCCAAATGTCTCTGAACTTCAATTTCTTCATCTGTAAAACATGGCTAATAACCCTACTGATATCCTAATATCATCACCAGGAAATAGCAATATCTGGCATAAATATGCATATAGGTATATATACATATTTCAATGACTATTGGTTATGATTTATATTATTATTAATATGCATACTTCACAAAAAAGCCAAACACATCAACTCTAAGTATTTTCTCACAGACTGAGGAGGGAAAGGGGCAAGGACTTGAAAGAGGGCAAATAGAGAAAAAGGACCTATACTCATTTCCATCATGATTTTCTCTGTTCCTCCATTCCATCCCTACCACTGGTTTGCTCCACATAATCAAATAGTGGTGAAATGAAGCTCAGAAGAAAAGAGGCACTTGAAACATAATAAAGGACTTCTTGTTACAATTAGTTTGGTCTATGGTCAAATATGGATATACTTGGATTCTCCCCACCCCACCCCAAAATAATCTGATTCATGAAGCTTCCAGTGATAAAAGCAATTATGATGATTGTATACATAAATTGCCATTCAGGCAATTTATGTATACAGTATGCTTCTACACAAATGCTTTGGTCGCCATCAGATCCGTGGAATGCAGGACACTCAAATCATCGCCAAATCAGACTATGCACAAGAGCTGGACCCACGGGGGACTTCAGGAGCCTCTGCAGGTGACGTCTGCTCAGAACATTCCACGGCTACGCTGGTTACAGCTGACCAGCTGCACAGCAGAGACCCAATTTCAATTCAGCTAGTAATGCAACATTAAATATTAATTTTTGCCTGTCATAGCTACTGTGGGAGTTGATTTCAGGCTCGTCTTTATTGCGTGGTAGTCTGCTAAGCAATAAATAGCTGTTGAGATTGATTAATGGCCCCGGTGAAGTGAAGACATTTAACCAATCACCAAAGCTGTTTGCTGCTATTACACTGTAAATCAATAATAATTATTCCTGTTGGAGAGAAAACTATCGTGGCTTTTTTTTTTTTTTTTAATATAAGAAATGCAGTTTTTTTTGTTGTTGTTCTCTTTTGACCTCCAGAAGGCCTTCCTTAAAGAACAATGTTGGGATGAATAGCTAGCAGCTTCATTTTTGGAAAAGAATGATTAGATTGGGAAATAAAGCTGAGGCTCAACTGTCAACAAGATTAGAATTCAAAATAACATATATGCAGTGATTGGGAACATCTCAGGTGCTGGAATAGATCGTCCTCACCTGGAGTGCTCAACATGACATCTGGCCACTCAGAAGTGCTTCTCCATCACTTGAGAAGGCAGGTGTAGATGCTGAGACAGAAGGACTGTACTAGCAAATTGCATGTCAGTGGACATCTGCCAGCAGCTCCACCGAAGCTAACATTTAGTAATAAGAACTCACTGCCTGTATTTTATACACATTGACTCAATTTGTCCTTATAAAACCCTGTGAATTAGGAACTATTATAATTCCCACTTCCAAATGAGGAGATTCAATAGATTAATAAATCGTCTGATGTCACAGAAGCCAGAGCCAAGACTGAAATCAGGTCTAACTTAGACCAAACTTTATGCTCCTACTATCACACCAAAGAGGCCCAACTTTCTCGCTTCATGGCACCTTCACTGTCTCAAGAACTTTTTTCATGTTGCCCCTAAGCCAATATCTAACGGTTCTATTGATTCCTTGGTTAAATCAAAGCAACTTTAAAAGTATTTGTGTTCCAATAAGTTAATACCCATTTTGAAAAGTAATACAGATAAATCAAAAGAAGAAATAATTTTTATTTCATTCTTCACCACAATTACTTACTAAAGAGATACATACATTTATGGGACACAACACAATTTTTCAAGTCTTGGAAGCAGAGAAAATGTGGCTCTGCTCATTTCCTGCCCCACATTGATTTCTGCTTGGATCTTGCTTATGATCCCAGTCCCCACCAAAAACCTATTTTCACAAAGATATGATGTCAGCAAAAGAATGTAACATGATCTAATACTGAACTGTGTGGTATTCAAGTTTACCTCAAAACTTTTAAATATCCAGTGACAGTCCTGTGAATTCACTGTGATGCCCCAATGTGCCTTGGCACACAGTTTGGGAACCATGGTGTTACACCAGACTGCTAACCAGCAGCACCCAGAGGCTCCAGCTCTGCCACTGGGTGGTTTACTAAATCCTTAAGGATTCTGGGTTCGGTAAAGAAGGAAGGTCCCCCAAAGAACCATACTCTAGCTTCTGGTTATTATTCCTGCTTATGTTATTAGAAGTAGTTGTGAGGCAACTATAGTAAAGTCACACTGTCATAGAATGTCACTTCCCTAGGGAGACGCAGCAGCGATAGATGTGGGTTCGAATTCCAGCTCTGCCACTGAATGACCTTACAGTAACAATAACAATAATAATAATAATTAAAATAAGAACAGCTTTTCCTGGTCACTTACTGTGAACCAGACTTTATTCAAAGCATTTGCACTAATGACCCTCTTCTTTTTTTTCATTTTTATTTTTTTATCTTTTTTTATTAACATATAATGTATTATTAGCCTCAGGGATACAGGTCTGTGAATCACCAGGTTTACACACTTCACGGCACTCACCATAGCACACACAACCTTCTTTTTTATAAATGATAAAACTGAGACTTTGTTTTATACGACTAGTAAGTTTTAGAAAGTTACTTAATCTTTCTAAATTTTCTTATCCTGCTTTTAAAATGGAGGGGATAATGCCTGCCTGAATAAATATGATTTTAGTGTACTTCTAATTTCTATGATAGGAAAAAGGAAGATGGAAGAAAAAAATAGTTCTTACATTTCCAAATATGAGGGCTTTTAGATGGACCCTTTTACCTTTTAACCATAAATAATTAGTGTTTAATAAAACTGTTTCTCCCTTCAGATCCCTGAAGATCTCCAAGGTTCCACTGATTTAAGTATTTTCAGTGAAGTCAGTATTTGTAATGAGGCTAGGAAAAAATGGGAAGAGGGATAATCCGAATTCTAGAGAAGAGATACTTTGTTGAAATCTTGCCCTGGGGATATCTTAAGCATTAGCTGATCACAGGCATTTGCTCTTGCCTTTATAATCTAAAGCATGTTGTCCTTTATTGTCATCTGGTCCAGAGAAGGTGATCAGAACACTTGCTTGGTGCCTTCATTGGTTGTCCTGTGACCCCTTGGACATTGACAGTAGCAAGTTGAGCTTCTAAAAATCAACGTATGACATTTCACCTTTGACATTCTCTGTCCATACCTGGTTTTAATGTTTTCACTGCTACTGAGGTGGTGTGGTTCCACAGTCCTTCCCACACTTCACCAAACTGCCCAGATCCTAATCGCTTCAGAAGCTGTATAGACTTGCGGTCTATCTCCCACTGGTCCACGGTTTTATATGACAAATCAAAAGGCACTGGCACTTGTATCTGTTTCACAGAATAATTAGAGTAAGTATAAGAAAAAGATTTGACAATTTTTTTGGTTGAAAATAATAGTCGAGGCACTTTTTTAAAAAGACACCATTTTTCTGGCGATTCACAGACCTGTACCCCTGGGGAAAAAAAATATATGTTTATAAAAAATCAAATCCAAAAAAAAAAAAAAAAAAAAGAAAGATGGATAGAGGTGTTGGAATATGTAGACATATAGAGAGACTATGGCTCAACACAGTGGCGTATACTTGTGAATTTCTTGCTTACATTTGGCATACATAGATTTATGTATGTGTACTACAGTGAGCATACATATTTGCATCTTATAAAATCTCATCCTCTTTGGGGCACCTGGGTGGTTCAGTGGGTTAAAGCCTCTGCCTTCAGCTCGGATCATGATCCCAGAGTCCTGGGATCGAGCCCCGAATCGGGCTCTCTGCTCTCTCTATCTGATAAATAAATAAAATCTTAAAAAAAAAAAAAAAAAAGACACCATTTTTAAAACCAAAACATTGTACATTTTACTCTCATTGCTTTAAAATGAAAAGGCAATCGTGGCAGAACCTGTATCCTTGCTATTTGAGCTGGTCTCCCCCCAATGCTTGCTGCATCAGGCACCCTGCTGTCCATCTGACCCACTCCACATCCACATGACTTTCCTCTGACTTTTTGCCTAGCTAAATCCTCCCAAATTTAAGGCCCATTTGAAGTTCCACCTGATTTGCAATTAATTCCCAAATTCTTTGGCCTATAACATTTACCCTATGTATCATATATTTTTGCATAATTAAAATGTCCATCTTATTTCAAATTCATTTATTTATTTGTTCATTCACTCATGTACTTGTTCATTTAGTAAATACATATCCCATTCAGTAAACAAACATTTAGTAAATACATATCCCATTCAGTAAACAAACATTTAGTAAATACATATCCCATTCAGTAAACAAAACAGACAAGACCCCTGCCCTCCTAGAGTCCATCGTCTAGTTCATTATCTACCATCAGAAATTATCTTAGTGGGGCGCCTGGGTGGCTCAGGGAGTTAAGCCTCTACTTTCAGCTCAGGTCATGGTCTCAGGGTCCTGGGATCAAGCGCTGCATCGGGCTCTCTGCTCAGCGGGGAGCCTGCTTCCCTTCCTCTCTCTCTGCCTCTCTGCCTATTTGTGATCTCTCTCTCTGTCAAATAAATAAATAAAATCTTTAAAAAAAATAAAAGAAATTATCTTAGCTCCTATGCCAAATCATCAGCACATTGAATACACAGAAGGTATATGCTTCTTTGTGAACATTTGTCCCCAGCAGAATCCAACAATATTGGTTAAATTGAGTATTTTTTAAGCCACATCTTTGCATCAGGTAAGCTATTCTTAGCATGAGCTTACACATTCTTGTGGGTCATGCCTACACCATCTAAGATGCATGCACTTATACCAAAATTGCACATTCACTTGGCAAGATTTAAGTCAATGAATTCCCTACATATACATACTGAACAAAATTCTTCAGCTTCTACCTGTCCATAAAATTCTGGTCAGGTGTTACCAGGAGCCTTTCACTCATCATCCAGACATAAACCACAGGGCTGGCTGTCCCGTTGACAGGACACAAGACCTGAACTCTGATGAGGAGCTGAGGTTTTGTCCCACACCAGTGCCAGACCACTCTACAATTTTAAATAAGTCTAGGTTAGACATGCCACAACTGATAGATGTAGATAAATTCTATCAATGTTTGGCCCAGCCAAACTGTTAGAACAGTTAGTTAAATGACATCTCTATGCAGACCAGCTAATGAGTCTAGTATTTTCATATTAATACTCTTGAATACAGATCTAAATAAGAATTATATTCGGGCACTTTTTTCCCCGTCCAGACATATCATTAAGTGCTCCAGTGGCAGGACACCAGATTAATTTCCTAGTGCAAAGAATGAATACTTTCTGTCTTGAGTGAGTGCCTTAGGTCAGGGGTTGGCAAACTTTTTCTAAAAAGAATGAGATAGTAAGTATTTTAGTCTTTGTGGGCCATGAAGTTTCTGTTGCAATTATTAAATGCTGCTAGTACAGAGAAAAGTCAAAGACAATTTAGTAAATGAAGGAACATGCCCATGTTCCAATAAATATTTAGTATTTAAAAAATAAGTGTGGGACAATATGGGCTTGTAGGCCATAGTTTTTCTATCCATGCCTCAGGTAATCAAATGACCTTTTTCCCCCACCTCCTGAACAGACATATCACATGAGAGATACTCCAATAACTGAAGGCAAAAGGTTAACTTCAAAATGAACCATCTTGAAAGCATTTCACCTTTAAACATGGTTTTCCCAGCTGGACACACAGGCCATCACTTGTCTTGGTGTAGTAGCTCACAAATTCATTCAGTGTTGAAAAGGTTCTTCTCTGGGTAAGGAAAAATGCCCCTTCATCCAGCCTTCTGATTCTGTAGTGTTTCACAGCCCTCTCATCTAAAACTGGAACACAAAGTAAGTCCTATTAATACACTTCTTGCCAAAGCCAAGCAGATTTACTCATTTTGCGGTGATAGTTTCAATACATGGAATACAATTTTCTTAAGTTCTATTTATTTCACAACTTGGTTTCAGAAAAGACTTCAGGAAGTTTACAAAAAATATATAGCAGAAGAAAAAGGAAAAAGAACTGGGAAATCACATTTTAAAGGAAATATAAAATAAAAATAAAGGAGTGAGGTCACCACTAAAAAAGCTAGGCTTAGAGGTCTATTGGACTTGATTAAAACAAGCCATAAAACTAACTCTATCATTCTAGGGGCACCTGGTTGGCTCAGTCAGTAGAGTATGTAAATCTTGATCTTGGGGTCATGAATTCAAGCCCTACACTGGGTGTAGAGCTCAGTTTAAAAAAAAATTGACTCTCATACTAGCAACTCAAAGAAAGAACATTATCAGTTTCAGAAATACCACAAGATAAAATCATAAAAGTTGTTTAGAAACAGTTCAACTCTGGGTGTCTGGGTGGTGCAGTGGGTTAAAGCCTCTGCCTTCAGCTCGGGTTATGATCCCAGGGTCCTGGGATCTATCACCACATCAGGCTCTCTGCTCAGCGGGGAGCCTGCTTCCCTTCTTCTCTCTCTGCCTGCCTCTCTGCCTACTTGTGATCTCTGTCAAATAAATAAATAAAATCTTTAAAAAAAAAGAAACTGTTCAACTCTTCCTGGTACAGAGGCCACAGAGAATATTCTCCCATGAAATCCTATGAACTGGAGAGTAAAACAGTGTCCTCAGTACTACCTGACAGTAATATAAGGAAATCCGCAGGGCAGCTCATTATACTGTCTCTAAATGCAGGCCGAGAACAGAATGTCCAAGTACAGTTCAATAAAAGCAATTCCCCGGGGCCCCAAATAATGCAATCCATGTATACAACCTTCCAGAAAGATCACTTGATCCAAGGGCAACTTCTGTATTAGCTAAAGGAATAAACAGACCGCACACCCTTTTACAAATCATCTGACTCAGAGAGGATGTTGATTTTGCCTGCCACCAACCATCCTCCCGTCTTCTGGTATCAGAACCCCACTTTCTCCGGAGAATCACTGCTCCTTTAAGAGCATGTGGTCCTGGGGTATGGATGCCAACCCTGAGCCAAGGAATGAACAAGAGCCAAGAAGACTCAGTTGCAGGACGTGGGTTATAGAGCTCGAGGAAAACAGGAAGAAGTCTATCGTTATAGTTGTTGTTTTGGTTTGGTTTCTGTTTAACTGCTGGGAGTTTAAAGCTCCTGGCAAAATCTTGTCCCCAGACAGGGAGAGAGCTTGCCTGAGAAGCTCTTTCCGGGATATGGAAAGCAAAGCTTAGTCCCTAGAGCCCCCCAAGCTTGGATTCTCAGCCAGAAGAGTCAACCATGTTTTTCACTTAAACTAGTTTGAATCGGTGGCTTTATTAAAGCACTTGCATTCAGTATACTGACTAATGCACTTCATAAACTCACCTTTCATTTAGCATAATTACTTGTAAGTACTGAGCGCATTTACCAGAAATACAGATATTCTGAATTCCCTGCAAAATACAGAAACTTGTGCTCCAGTAATCAGTCAACTGGAGCAACACTCTCACAAAAGGAAAGAAGACCAAGTAGAAAACAGCTCAGTCCCAGCACGGAGGTTTACTGAGGGCACGCTGCCGGCGAGGACAATGTTTTCCTCACAGAATAATCAATGCACCTCACAACGGCTAAAATAAAAAACAGATAATAGCAAGGGGTGACAAGGAAGCAGAGTAACTGGAATTCTCCTGCACAGATGATGGAGGTGTAATTTTCACACTCACTTTAGAAAACTGTCATCATCTACTAAAGTTGAACATAATCCTACCTAGAGTATAGTGATTCCACGCCAATATATGTAATCAACAAAAGTCACAATATATGTGCCAAAGCACACGTGCAAGAATGCTTTTAGCAGCATTGAGAGAGTCTAACCCTAGAAACAATCCAAATGTCCATCACCTGTAGAAGAGACTAAGAAATTATTGTATGTTTGTCCAGGGAATACTGTACAGACATGTAAATAAACAAACCAAATACACACATGAACATGAATGAATCTCACAAAAATTATTTACAACGATTATTTAAAACCATTAGTTAAAAACTAGCAAATCTACTGATATTTGGAGTCAGACTGGTGTATTGCTAAGAATCTCTTTCTTGACTGGGTGCTGGTTTACATGGGTGTATTCACCTTCTGAATGCTCATCAGATCAAACTCTTACAAACTGTGTAGTTTTGTGACATATGTCACACATCAATTTAAAAGAATTTTCTTAGCGGTGCCTGGGTGGCTCAGTCGGTTAAGTGTCTGCCTTCGGCTCAGGTCATGATCCCAGGGTCCTGGGATCGAGTCCCACATCAGGCTCCCTGCTCAGCAAGGAGTCTGCTTCTCACTCTGCCTCCCATTCCCCCCTGCTATGCGCGCATGCTCTCTCTCTCTCAAACAAATAAATAAAATCTTTGCGGAAAAAAAAAACTTCAATGTTCTTTTACCAAATAAAGGTAAAGATGTGAGGTGATGAATATATTAATTAACTCAGTGGGAGTAATCCTTTCACAAAGTATACGTATATCAAATCATCACATGTACACTTTAAATACTTTACAATTTTCTTGATTTTTCCTCAATAACTGAAAAAAAAGATCACATCACTTCTGCATACAGAAAAATATTTTAGTTTCTTATAATACAGAGGGTGGGAGTACATTTAGATACTCCAAAAGCCATATAAGTTTATTTAATTACAATTTCTGAAGTATCTGTAACATATTTTTCTACTCTCTGATCTGTCAGGTTACCATTCCCCCTGACTGTGACTCTTGGGACAATGTTAGTTGTCCTATATAATAATCACCAAATGGAAGGGTTTTACCATGATGTAGAGCTAAGCTCATAACAATTCCTATATATGGATTAAAAGGCTAACAGAAAAATCAAGGAGAGCTGAAAACAGTATTAGCGCAATTCATTTCTCCACAGAGTAACAAAAATATTAGAAGCAGAAAGGTAGCTAAATAGAAAGCATACCAGCAATTTATATAAATGGCTGGCTTGAAAATTCAAGCTTTGCCATTTATCAAACAGGAAAGTGCATAAATTATAGAAATGTATAGCAAGCCAATAGGGTTATAATTGGAAATGATTGGAAGCAATAAAAACATTCCCCTCTTTTAAACAAGATGGACAATATCTAGTTTCAAACTAAAGTGGACTGTATGGAAATTAAACAGAAACAGGAATTCCTTTTTTTTTTTTTTAAGATTTTATTTATTTCTTTGACAGAGAGATCACAAGTAGGCAGAGAGTCAGGCAGAGAGAGAGGGGGAAGCAGGCTCCCTGCTGAGCAGAGAGCCGGAAGGTAGGGCTGATCCCAGGACCTGAGATCATGACCTGAGCCTAAGGCAGTGGCTTAATCCACTGAGCCACCCACGCACCCCCAGGAATTCCTTTTTGATGCACCACAAAAGAGCTAAAGATTTCCAAGCTAGAGACTAAAATCAATAAATGACTGAAGGGGTAAAGTACTTCCTGTGATTTTCTTAATAAGGGATGGAAATCACAATGATTGATATGGCTTTGGCAATTGTTATTGATTATAAAGAAAGCCTAAATAAATGTTTACCAACTCTGTAACTCTCAACTATAAAAACCAAATACTTTGCAATACATTTAGAGTTCTTAAGCACAACAAAAGTAATTTCGTTCAATAGAAAAAACAATAGATCTGGAAATGGGAGACCTGAGTGACAATTTAACTTGTGTATGACCAAAAACACATCAATCTCACCTGGCCTCTGTTTCCCCATCATTAAAATAAAAGAGCAGGCTTTGAGAAATCTCCAAATTTCCAATTGTTTCCCGCTTAGTAATCAAACATCTCTGATGGCTGTTGCTTTCTCTCCCTGAATTCCCATTTTTTTGTGGTAGTCCTTTTAAAAACAAGTAATGGGATGCCTGGATGGCTCAGTTGGTTAAGCGTCTGCCTTTGGCTCAGGTCATGATCCCAGTGTCCTGGGATGGAGTCCCACCTCTGTCTCCTTGCTTGGCAGAGAGCCTGCTTCTCCCTCTGTCTGCTGTTCCCCCTGCTTGTACTCTCTCTCTCTCACAAATAAATAAATAAATCTCAAAAAAAAAAAAAAAAGGAAAGAAAGAAAGAAAACAAAAAGCAAAAAAAGCCAACTTAAATAATTCTCACCTCAGAGCTTTGAACACCACTTGGTTGCTTTTCCTAAGAATCTGAATCTTCTCCTGGTAGCTGGTCCCTTCCTTCCGATCTCAGTTTAAATTCTCTGAACCACCCTTCTCCGCCCACCCTATCAAATTCACCTCTCCCTACCTCCCTCCTATCACCCAGTTTAACTCTGAAACTATTTATCTCCATAGAGGTAGCTCCCTGCTGGCACCGGCTCTGCTGTTTCCACCCCATAGCGACTCAGAGCTTGGCACAGAGTAACGGCTAACATAAACATCTGCTTGATGAACGGACGGTGATGCACCAACTCTTGAATCTGAAGTGAAATCCAAGCTTCTGAAATGTCTGCTACAAAATTAAAAAGTTAAGTATACAAATATTTCAAGACACACGTCCCTGGAACTTTATTTTTAAAAGGAGGAAAACACACTTAGCCCCAGAATATAGATACTTTCAGAGGACTGTCATTCAAATTTATATCTTTTTTTTTAATTCCGCAACATAACACAGAAATAACTACTCTATCTCTAACTGACAGCATGGATATTTCTATTTGGTTAATTAAAGTTTTCAACCTAAATAAGACTGAAAGACTATCTATCCATCCATCTATCTCTCTCTATATATATATGATGTACAAATTAGACCACAGAAACTACATCAGGGAAATTCAATACATTGTAGTCAAGATGAAGGCCCTTTCAGTATTGAGTAATCAATATTGAATAATCAAATCCAAAATATACGAT